AAAAGCCGGTAGTGGTTTCTCGTTCCGATTGCATACCAGAAACCAAACCAAACCAAAGCCTCTGATACCCTAGTGAGGATGTAGTTATGGCTACTTCTTACACTTACCTCACAAGATATTCACATTTGAAAATATAAATGGCCTGGATGTAAGTCTTTCTTTAGGTCACAATTGCCCCTCACATACGTTAGAATTTATTATTACATCCATCTTGTTCAGAATATCCAATATTTTTTTTTATAAAAAGGTATTTAGTTTTTTTTCTATATAAAATCTTGAAACACATATTATATTTTTTAGTTATCCTCACCTATTATAGTTTAAATTTATTCCCATTTGTATAATGCTGCAAAACATAGGAAAAATATTCCATATTTTTTGACCCAAGCCAGTGTAGTTTACACCAAGAGTATTTACCAAGGCTTTTACTAAGACAAGTAACTTCCTATACTGTCCATAATAGTATATATTTATCAAACGTGCAGTAAATTCTAAACTATGGTAGGTAAGTGTTTGCAATTGAATATTTAGTTTATATTGCTATTTTCTGTCATATATTTCTGGTTATTTCTTTTTTCGATGATTTTGAACACCCTATATATGCTACCTCAAGTTTGAATATTTACACACTAGTACACTACCTACTTATTTTCTGAGAAATCAGACCTTTTATAAAAAGTAACTAACTGATGTTTTCATAAAAGTACTAATACAAAAAATTCCATACTTATGTGGAGAGCTTTAGACTCCCTGTATATTAAAAAATTAGTGAAATATTACGTAATCTAACCCGACATTTGTGTGAAAAATGTCTATTTGGAAATAAAACAGGTTTTAAAATACGCGCCAAATATAGCACTTCTATCTCCGCCATATTGGAAAAGGTTGAATTGCCTTTGGAGAGGTGGTGGTGGGTCAGCATGGTGGCCCGGCCGTGTTGCCGCTTTTCAACATGCCAGGTGTGACGTATTAAAAATAAAGTGCGGATTTTTATTCTGGGCTGTTTTGTTTTTATTTATTTTCTTAAGAACGACTTCAAATTATTCGAAAGTGAGAAGCAAAAAATTCTAGAATTAATTGCTTTATTCAATTATGCTAATTCCAAAATATAGTGAAAGAGCCCATTAAGAACAATCCTGATGATTTCGTCCATTTAGAGGCTTCGGTTCGAAACGTCGTCGAGGGCGTCATCCTGTAGCCCCTCTCCAATTATGCTGAAATCGACCCACATTTTTCTTCATTATTTTATTGTCCAATTCCTGATGAAGATGTAAAAGAAACGTCGTATCCGCCTTTGCAGGCTGGGACCGTCTGCAGTTCTGCACCGTCGCACAGTGATGCCGAAACAATTGCTACTACATTTTTTAAAATTATTTTTGTTAGATGTGGCTTTCTAAGTATATAAGTGATGTTTTGAATTCAGAAAATTGAATTATGTATACAGAGTGTACTTAAATTGGATGTAAAAAATAAAAAATGGGTTGTAAAAAATTTTAATCATATTATTTTGTCTTTAATAGCATATTAATTTAATACTTTATTCTTTGTAAAGTTTAAAAAATCAAAAAAAGTTTGTGTAAACACATAAATAAATATACAGGGTTTTATTTTCAGCCCTTACAATAGAATTAGCATTTCGTTTTTAATATAATTATTTTTTTTCAGAACTAGTTACCAATAAGTATTGCTTAAATTCAACTTAAAAAAATATATTTGTATTCATATCCATGAGAAAAAAAAAGAAAAAAAAAAGAAACTAAATACATCTGTATATTTTATGTAGTTACCTATTATGTAAACAGTTGTTTACTTATAACCATTTAATTTTAGTTATATTTTTAAATGTTCTATAATTTAAAAATATCTGTATATAATTACCTGTGGTAAAAATATTATAAGTAGTTAGATTATAATTAGAACTTAGGTACAAGAACTTAATACGCAAGAAAAAGAAACAAAAAATTATCCTAAAGCTTCTAGATAAGATGGATAATATATTTAATATGGATTTAGTAAATGGATAAAGACAATAGAGTAATTTAATCCATAATAAGTTTTAGAGCCTCAGGATACTGTTCTATTTTACTTAACAGAAGAAGTCTTGGTGATCTCTTACTATATCCGAGAAAATTAGTAGAAGGTGCATGACATTCTCGATAAAAGTTGTTGACCGAATGTTGATGCATCATAGACACATTGACACATCTTTGTAGTTTATATATAATTATTCAAAATTAATGAGATTTCTCATAATATTAAATTTAATGTCATAATATAAGCACAAAACGAATAAAAACTTAGGCTTAACTGTGAAAAGCTAGTTAAAATTACACATTAAAAAATTATTTTTAAATTTGGATACCTTGTATATCGAAAATTAAATTCAATAAGAGAAAATATATTACCAGTTTTCTTTCTAAAACTAATTAAAAAATAACCAACAACAATATTTTACAGCACATAAGAAACACCCAGTAATATACTGTCATACGTAATTTATTTTGGGAAACTAAATCATGGTTTTCGGGAGAGTTAGGCAACCTAAATGTTGGTCATGAAACTTCATAGTTATGAAGAAAAAATGCTAATAATTGTAACGTGTACATCATATTTTTCTGGAGCAATTTGGAGCATTTAGTATTAGCTTACCTAAAATGTGATTTTATATTAAGCAGTTCTTAATTACATCAAGGTCTTCATTGAATTTTTTTATGGTACCAGGGAAGTCAAAACAAGAATTACCATGAGGGAAAACAGTTGAAAACATTGTACTTTCTCAGAGTACCATCAGTTTTTAGCTAATTTATGACCAACGTTAAACGCATTAATTTTCTTTAATCAAAATATTTTAGCTTCAGCTAATAATCTTATAAGCTTGAACATTTCTTATAAGGGATTAATAATGGGCCCGTTTTTATTCAAAAATGTTCACGATTCTGAAAATATGGATTATTAGGAAGTATACGAGTGAAATTATAATTTAAAAAAATACTTCGGATATTTTGATTTTTTGCCGCTATTGGGAACTTCTGCATCACTGTGCGCTGTGCGCGTCGGTCACATAACCTACCCACCCATGATACAAAGAATACAAGGTATGATATTGCGCAGGTTGGTCACTACGTCACAGGTGATAAACGGCACTATTGGTCGGCAAGCTCTGCGCGCCAATTTCAAATTGTCAAACAGATTGTGTCATCTGTGAAATTTAATTGTGGCAAAATATGAAAATAATTTTTCAAATGTCAAGCTCGATGTCAAAACATAACTTTTGGGGTTATGTCCTAATTCTTCCCTATTTTAGGTCTTTTTTTATTAGTGGCAATTGAACAATATGGATATTTTTTGTATGGCGTATGACGTCACAGGTGGTATGCGCAAACTTAACGAAATTGGAGCCGCTATCGATCATACCTTGTTTTCTTTATACCATGCTACCCACCAAATTTTGTCGCAATCGGACGACATCAACTTTTGATGTTTCTTACGTCAAAACTAACTGTCACAGTGACACGTGTCGTAAACGGTCAAGTTGGCATTGGCCCAATCTATTGACATATTATCAAATTTCATTTAAATCGGACGATTTTTTGATTTGATTTATGGGTTATCATTGATGATGGGGTTAGTGTAGTGCACGAAACGTCGTCAAAATATCATGAAAAGATGGGGTTCTTCGAGCTCATCATCTGATCCCAGCAATGGCCTCTTTGTAACTCAGCACCAGATTCATTATCATTACGTGATCCGAAGTAATTAGTTCATTTTCGCATTATAATATTTACTCGCGTCACTATAGGTTATTAAGTTACCTTGCCTGACACGTAAAGGTCAGCTTTTTGCCTTCCCGAGAGCCGTACAAGGAAACCGATTTCAAAAAGACCGGGAAAAAAAATCTGTAAGTATACGGACATACTCGGCTGATAATTATTAGAAAGTAAAATGCCTTGCTGCTACTGCTAAAAGAATAATTAATAGCATTCGATATGTAATTACGTAGATATGTAAGCGGATTCCCCAGAGTGACAAAGGATATAGACAATAATAGACATAGGCAAGCCAGTCTTTCTAAACCAACGACTAAAGAATACAAGGACATATAACTTCCATATACGGGCTGCAGTAGAATTTGTGATATTAGACGCCATATTTTTGGTTGTAACGAATGAGTCATCAGCTGGTCATCAGCGACAATTTTAGCGTTTTTTAATAGTTTGTTGTGTGTAGTGAACTTTGTATAAACTTTATTATAATGGTAATTTGTTCAGCTTTCAACTGTAAAAGCCGCAGCGATAAGAAAGAGCCAGGAGTTATTACGTTTCATAGGTAAATAAACAGTCCACTCCACCTTTTTAGCGTTTTCTTATTGAATTCGATAATTATTTTTCTATTATATGTACTTGATGTGTACTATACGTCGATACTAGTTTTGTACCTTTTGTTAACATGTTAATACGTTTTTTTCGTAATTCATGTGAGCATGATACCACCGCATACACCATAAGCGTAGTCAAAACATTTATTAAAAATATAAATATCTCTTTAAGCAGCTAAGTTGAGAAAAATATTATGTACCACGGCACTGACTGTTTGGTGGTATGGTAACAATTTGGTTTCGGGTGTTATTAGGCCTTGTATTCTTTAGTTATTGTTCTAAACTCTATATACAGGGTAAGTCTGAAATAAGTGCAAATACTTTTAGGGTGGTAATATTTTGACCCCAGGAACACGTTTATGAGGTTTGATCGTAAAAAAAATTGAAAATTTTATATTTTTGAAACAATTTTTTGTAAAATAGAGAATAAATGTAATAAATTATCATTTCAAATAACTCCTCGATATTTTTTTATGTTCTTAATCCGTATGATATAACATGCGATTTGATTGCTTATTAAACCTAATACGACGGGATATCAAGCTGAATAATTGAATTGCATCTGTTTTTCTCTATAGGTATATTAATTGACTTAGCTTTAACATGTTTTTCTTTTCTTTTTCAGTGGACGTACTTGTTGATGATGAACCGGTACGGTTAGAGATCTGTGATACAGCTGGAGAGGTAACTATTTTTGTATTATTTCTTTTTTTTTTAATATACAGGATGGTGCCTCTCACACAACGCGGAGGCTCCAATGACATCTTATAAGATCTTCATTACAAAAAACACAACTTTGATGTTTATTTTTTTTGGGGACACGCTGTAGAACTTTAACCTATATATTTAAAAGAAATGCTCTAAATTAGACTACAAACACAACAAAATACTGCGCCACCCTGTACACTCCAAACCAAAAAATTAATGAGTTTAATTCAGCTATAGTCTGTCCAACGAGAAGATCCTTGACAGTGATAGATGTGTCTGTCATTTTAATTTCAAAGTAGTTTATTTTATTTTACAAAGAAATAAGTTGGTACAACTGGAACGCATAGATATATTGAAAATTTGATTGACAAGATGACAAGTGATTACTTCAAAATATTGTGAAAAAAACTGTATAAAACTGAAAAAATGTAATCGAGTTATTTTATTTAATAAAAACGGTATGTGTTAATACAAAACAAACAAGAACAAGACACTACATACCAAAAAAATATAAAAAAGAACTATTATTTACTTTCAAGCTTTATGAAACCACCCGCATTTATGATTATATTTATCAATATAACTTATGTACAAATACAAATTAGTAATATTCCACAGGAATAAATAAAACAACATAGGTAAATAAAACAAACTATTTTATTAATAATAACACCTACCAAATTTTATACCTTAAAGGTTGATTAATTAACTTTAATCTTAATTTTTTTAAACCAGTACCTTTTGACATTATTTTTCTGCAGTACTAAAATCCATTATTTACCTATCGTGTGATGTCGATATGTTACAGCTACTCCAGTTTTTAGTATGTGTTTAGTTTGATCCTTCTACCATATACGAGATGCACTTATCTACGACGAAATGGTATACAAACTTTATCGATGGCAACTTCATTGGTGTATAAGACTTTCTGCCTGGGCAGCGAGTATTAACCACAAACTGTGCTATGGGTCTACAGCAAGTCTACAGTTAATTTTCACTCGATTTTTCCTCCACTTGACTTCAAAAGACACAAAACACACGTAATAATACGAATCAAAATGCATCATCTTCCAAAACGCAGGGTATTTAACAAAAGTTGACACAAAATTATAACCTATAATTTGGCAAGACTTTGACAAGCGTCAAAAATGACAAAAATCTAAAGGCGAGTTCATACGCATCGGCGTCCGTTTGTGGTTCATCGTTCCGTCAAACCAATAAAATTGAAATACGATCTGTCATTTTTTAAATAAACCAATAAAACTGGTTAAAAACAACAAGACACGACGCATGACGGATTTATATTTAAACCCATCCATAGATAACTTAAAAATTATTAGAAACTTTTTTTAGTAAAATAAATAGATTGGTATGGGACGTCATCTGCTTTTCTTCTGTCATCGTCTGTCGAAATCTTACCTGAGAAAAAACACAGAGTATATATTCGATACCAATTAAACTTTTAGTTACGTAATCGAGGGTCTGATTTTTAAATTCATTGTTGCTAACCATGGACATATTCGGCACCGGGCTGACTAACTGGAATTTAAATTTCCCGCTGGGAATTCAGGTGGTAGCTCTGCCGTAAGAAATGTCAAGTTGCTGCATTTATTTATTTCCTGACATTGTCATTCGTTTTGACACTTTAAGTTTTTGGTTTAAATGAATTGTGTTGTGATGGTTTAAGCTTAAAAAAAATTACTAGCAGACCTTGCAGTCGAACATTGTTCTTTTTAGAAGCTCTTTTAGTATGAAGTGGTACAAGATAGTATAATAGCCGTAAAAAAATCATCGCAACTTTATTAGAATATTTTGAACGGGAAAGCGGTAATTATGGCCGTTTATCTCCTTTAAGTGCTGTTAAGGAGGTGAGGAAGTGGGCAACGCTGTGCCGGTGAAGCTTAATCCCGTGACTATTATTTTATTTGATATGAACTATATATAAAAGTTTATCTATAAAAAAATATATGAAATTGTATAAATAAATAAATATTTGTAATACACTGGTTCTATAAGTCATGAAAGATTTTTCTTCATAAAAGTACCTTGCACTAGGGATGCATGATTCGAATCGATTTTAATCGAAGATCGATCTTTTTGCCGAAAATATCGATTAAAATCGATCGATTTTTATCAAACGATCTTTTGGTAGAATCGATTTTTTTTCAAAATCGAAGATCGATTTTATTTATACATTTTTACAGGTTTATTTATTTGTTAGAATAAAAAAAACGGTAACCAAAAAAACACTTTAGTTTTGCTTGAATATTTGATTCCGGTGCATCTCTAATAACAACTCCAAAATTCCGCCATCTAGCAATGAAAAATTAAGTGTAAGTGCTCGCTACCGCATGCGCCAATGTCTGTTTACCACTTTGATATTAGGTGTCAGATTTTTGTCGGTGATTCCCATATTTTTATATTTTAGATAACAGAATATTTTCTGATTTTAGCTTCTTTCCAACCGACTGATATATCAAAATTACAGAATTTACCGGTACATATTCTGTGTCAAAATCATCATAAGCATGCAAAAAGCCGAATAATTATATTTTAATATTGTTATAGTATTTTTAATTTTTACAAGTATGTCTCGGTTTGTGGGTGTTTCTGATTCAGTTTGGGATGACAGTTATTCAGTTTCAATTTTAAATGTGTTAATAAAGGTTTTACGATTTTTATGTATCTAATTTTTTTATGATTATATCGTATTTTTATTATACCAGTACACCAATACATTCAGAATCGAATATCGATATTTAATAAGATCGATCTTTTGTTACCGATTTTTTTCTGGATCGATCTTGTTATGTCCGATCTTGAATCGATTCAAAATATCGATTTATTTTATTTTTGCGACATCCCTACCTTGCACTCTCGTTGCAAAACTCTTCAGATCGAAATTAGGTGGGCAGTACCACCCGTGGTTCCATTCAGAACCCATTTCCTCTGCCAACGACCCATTACCATTTCGATTTAAAGTTCAATTAATTCGAGCAATTAAGAGAAAAATCAGATTACCTATGCATACGTTTTTCTTTTTTCTTGTATTTTTTATCGTAAGGAACAGGTGTTTGAGCCTGGGCAATTTAAATGAACGGTAGTATTATTATTGCTTGTTTATTAAGAAAAATAAATTATTGATACTCTTTAATATTTATGAAACAAACATGTTACCAGGTATTAATTTTTGTGTGTGTGTCGGGTATAATAGATTTATTTTATTGATTACTGGAATAACGGATGTTTTAAATTATCTTGACTTCTTGGTTCTACAAAACTTTCTCATCGATTTGTAATGCATAGAAATTTTTATTTTCCAACTAGTAATTACTACATCAATTTTAATTTTTTTATTAATTTTGTTACACATCAATATTTACAGCTCCTAAAAGTAAAGGATTAATAAGAAAGGAACTACGTATTACCCTTTAGAGAAGACCTTAGATTAAGAATAAAATCTCTATCTATTTTTATTCTTAATCTAAGAATGTAAACAGTTCTCCTGTGGAGAGGACCAAAAATATTGTGTAGGTATACTGGGTGCGTCTCATAAGTGGCTCACCCCTATAACTTTTTTATTTTTTCAGATAAAAAAACGAGATTTGGTATGTTAGTATATGACAGGATTGATTGACGTATTCAATTGTTTTTAGTCACTGCCTGTTTCACAGGAAATTACTAAAACTTTTGTTTTTTAAATGGCACCCTCGATATATTTCTACTTTATTCGATAGAAAATGATACTCTGAATAGAATGACATATCATATGTCAACTTTTGACATTTTCGCATATGGTTTATTTGAAATTGTAACATGCGTTTCATAACGACAATTTGACTTGAAATACCAAGTGTGCCGTACCAAATTATTAATAAAAAAATGCTTTTTTCAAATGTGCTAATTAGCCATCATTGTTCCGTTTACACTAGGGATGTCAATCCCGGAAGAAAATTTGCCTCGAAAAATCCCGGGATTGGATTATGTAAATACCGATTTTTCATGCCATAGAGTAAATGGCTTAATTTCATGGACTCATTATGAAAACGGACCAAGCAACGTAGAACTATTTATTCTGACATTCTTAGCTACCTCACAAATCCCGACTTTATAAAATCTGAACCAGATGATTGTTTCAAAACATCAAATATTTTCCTAATTAAATCAGAGATAGAAAAGCTTTTAATCAGACTAGAGCTAGACAATTCATCAGATACTTCTAGAAAAGGAACCAGCAACTACAGCGAAGAGGATGAGCTTTCCATTGCCGAACTTCTGAGAAGAGAAGATAGTGAACCTTTAAAGGTTAAACTGCAGAAAGCATTACAACAATCTTCAAAGCCGATACAAACCAAAAAAAGAATAAGACGGCGATTGTCCGACATTATTACCCAAGAAATTGAATTATTTTCAAATGGTAGTAGTCGGGGACGTAATCTCCAAAAAAGCTTTTGAATTTTTATCAACCATTCAGGCCACTAGCGTGGAATCTGAAAGATGTTTTTCTTCGGCAAGAATTTTGGGATTTTGAAAACCTTTCGGGATTGACATCCCACATCCCTAATGTCTATGCTGCAATAAATTAAAAAACATATAAATTATAGACCTACGAATGTTACTTAATCTTAGTACTTTCTATCCCGTTACGTTGACCCATCTCCTTAACAGAACCACCATAAATCTTTTGGTGTTGTTACAAGCGGCCCGACGCGCTCATTATACGCTAAATCTGGACCGGTCTTCGGGTGACAAACCGGCCATAGCCAGCAGGCAACAGCAGGATGATTCATCTAAAAATTCGATTGCTCAGCGCGATCCCTCTTTAAATACGAACGTACTCGTCCGTTGACAAAGGAAGGAACAGCCGACAGTACCAAGAGAGAACACAATAAAACATCATAGAAGTTATATTAAAAATAACTTTTTAGTAGTTATAGTTCTATAATACCGTATGATCGATAAAAAACGACGTCAAA